TTTAAAGTGGAGAGCGACAATGATGGCATCTTGATCAACCTCTTGCTTCCTTGTGCACCTGCATACACACACACCAAAATTAAACAACAAAAACAAGGTAGACGGTTCTTGTTGATCTCAGGCCTACCCATACACACGTGCACAGGCACTCCCACACATGTCCACACATACAAACATATGCATTAAAGAAACATTAAAGAAAATAGCACAAGATCTCAGACCAAAGACTTCTCTAAGATCGATAAAGTTGGGGAACTGTCTATGCATGGCAAGCCACAAAACATTGTTGAGTGGAATTATCAAAACTAGACAAATTGTGTTTTGTATAAGAACCTATTTCTTTCAAAATCCCCATATGACAGCTCGATGTGGTGGCTCAGGCCCACAGTGCCAGTTACTCTGGGAGTTGACACTAAAGGATCACTCACCCTGTGAGTTTAGAGCCAGCCTGGAGAACATAGTGAGATTCTGACGTTATTTATTGGCATTCAAAGAGAGAGAAGGCAGGTAAAGGATGTTAGAGTGTATTTTCAAGTCATATAAGCTATAAGGAAATGAATTCAGAACATATTAAACCTCTCAGGGTGTCTGTCTATAATCCTTGCGCACAGTAGGCTGAGGTAGAAGAATAATTGGGTTTCAGGGTATATAGCCAGTTTTCTGTCCCAGAAGCAAACAATCTCATCAGATCCACTACAAAACAAAAACAAAAACACACACACACACAAAAAAAAGTGTGGGGGGGGGCGATATCTGGACAGACAGCTCACTGAAGGTGAGTTACAGTTATCAGATAAGCACATGTAAAGATGAACTTCCACTGCAAATCCTGTCAGTTAGGAACCATGACATGGATGCTGGTCTATGGACTGAGTGTTGGCAGGGACATGGAAGTACACATAAACGCATAAAACAAAGACTATCGGCCACAGGATTTTACAGTCATCAGAAGAAAGCCCACAGAAACAAAGGCAGGCTAAAAACACCTCAGGTAACCTCAATGTAGAAAACTATGAGCGAACCGCTCTACACTTAAAGATATTTAGTACAAGTTCCTCAGGGGGAAGGGAAACAACATGAGAAGAAAATTCAGCTCTGTATAGGGCAAGGAATGAGCTTCAAAGGCAACCATGGGCACAAACACAAAAGCCTTTTAAAGATTCCCTATAATCACTTGAAAAGATAATTGACTGTTCAAAGCAAAAATAATAATAGCATGCCGTGGACGTTTAGCCCATATAAAATTAAAATATACAAGAGCAGTAGCAGAAAGGGCGGGAAGGCAACGAAAGTGGAAATTGTGAAGTCTCACATGTAAAGTGGCTTCACACTGTTTGAAATGCCCTGTGAGAACACACGTTAAGCCCCAAAACAGATACGGAAGTGTTAGTAAAGATGTACAGCTGATGAGCCAGTGGTAGAGATAAGATGGGAAACGTGCCAGTTGGATCCAAAAGGGAAAAGCACAAAGCAAGGCCAGGGCAGGTCATCAGAAAGCAAACAGCAGGACTCAACATTTATACCCAGGTCTGCTGGCACCTCAGACACAGGAGATCTAAACACTGCTGCTTCTGTTTGTTTGTGGGGGTGTGTTTCGGTTTGGTTTTCAAACAAGAGTCTCACCACGTACATTAGGCTGGCTTTGAAGTCACAGAGATCCTCCTGTCTCAGCCTCTCAAGTGCTATAATTATTGGATGAATCTCCAAGCCCATTTGTCTAAACACTGCTGCAGAGAGACTAGACTTAGAGGCTGGTTAAAAGCAAACTATGTAACAAGGTGGGGAAAGATACCAATAAACAGCGGACAACAATAAGGATGCGTCAAGACTCCATCATATTAAACAGGTTGACTAGTGGAGGAACAATTGCTCTGAGTATGTGTGTACCTAAAGACATTGTAGCAAAGCACAGAAGACAAGCACCAAAATCATCGAAAAGTATAATAGAAAAGTGCCCAAATAAAGTTGGCCCCACTAATGAACAGAACAAGTAACACAAGGGTAGGAAGATGTGGACCTTGCATAAAACCATGTACCAATATAACCCACCAGCACCAGATGCTGCACCCCAAATGCGTAATTACAGGCTACAATTGCAATGAGCTCACAGAGCCTATGTGTTGTGACCACAAAGGAGTTATTAAAATTAATGACAGAAAGGTGTCTGGCACCTTTCCAAATAGTTGAACATTACTATGCACCTAACTAAACAATACATGGGTCAAAGAGAACACCCGGGAAAATAGAAGTAAATTAAAAATCAAAGGAAAGTGGAAAACCAGCAGGCCAGCATTTATGGGACGCTCACAAAGCTGTGCTCATAAGAAAATAGACAGTGTTAAATATGAAAGGTCTGCAACTAGCAATCTGTACTCCTACCTTACAAAGGCAATGGAAGAATAGCAAATTAAATGTGAAAGAGAGAACAGGAAATGATTTCTGCCACTATAGCTATAAAAGGGCTCACAATTTCAACTCTGCCACTCTCCTGCTACGTAAGGACTTGGAGTTCCCTCTGGGGTACACCATGCTCAAGTGGCATCCTGGAAGCAGAGATTGGTTCCTCACCAGATTTCAAGCCTCATGTCTCCTATTTAGAGCTTGGAAATGTTAAGAGAATAATTTTCTGTGTCTTATAATCCACCAACATCTGGGTGTTTTGTTACAGCAGTACAAAGAGGCTAAGACAGAGGACTTCCTACCTAATCTCTGATGGGCGTTGATCTGTGAACAGGACTGTCTTCCTTTTGACAGTCACTTTCCTGCCTTTGTGTCTCAAAACATGATCTAAACAAATCATTTCCTTCCCCAAGCCTCCTCCAAACATGCCTCATGACCCAAGGAGCCATAGTGGGTTTCCAACAGGCCATGCTTCTCACGGGGCTTTCATAACGGCAGAGCAGGGCAGGTAGCTAAAGAGAATCCTGTCCTGGGACTCGAACACTTATCCTTCCTGGCCTAGTCACTCTGCTTAGACTGTGGGGCTGGAACAGGGCTCCCGGGTGGCCCTCCCCCCTTCCTTTAGAGATTCGTGCTGTACTATGAACTTCCTGGGAGTGTGAATGAATGGCTACAAACTGGGATGAAGAAACAGCTGTATCTTCTCACAGTCCAGGAAGACCCAGGTAGAGGCAATTCTCTCTGCTACCCCCAGTGGAGGCCCCTCCCAGCCCTCTTCAGGTGACTGAGTAGCCTACATCAGCAAAACTCTGGCCTCATGTGCATCTCCTCCTGAACTTGTCTCCTTGTTCCAAGCCCTCATTTATAAGGACATTCAGTAATACTGGATAGGTCCCACCAACCTATTAGATTCCTCTTGATCATCTGCAAAAGACTTTCTTTCCACATAAGGTCACCCCCACAGGTACTGCTTAGTAGGACTTAGGGGAACACAGCTCAATCCACAGCATACTCTAACAACTCCCCAAGCCAAGAGCTTTCATTAGAGGTCTGCTCATCTCAGTAGGCATTTCTCTTACACACTACCAAGAACAAATTGAGTGTGTATGTGTGTGTGTGTGTGTGTGTGTGTGTGTGTGTGTGTTAGTTTGCTTTTTGAGACAGGGTCTTCTTATCTAATCCAGGCTGGCCTGGGACTTGCCTCAACCTCCTCACTGTGCAATTACATTGATGTACCAGCACACCAGGTTTATATCAAGTATATGTGACTCCATCTTATCCTCTGTGACAGGAGGACCTGGGCTAACACACCTATATAAGATGCCTACAATTCTCTGAGACCCAGCTCTAAAGCTACAGAAATCCTGGCCCAGGATTCCCTCAAGTCTCTGCCTGTAGACGTGAGGTGGCACCTGGGACAGCCTGACTTTCTTGGGGTAAAAGTCTGTATGCAAACAGGCCTTTGTGTCCTGGGGTTTTCTTGACAAGGAGCTGCAGAGACTTGGATGCTGCACTCTTGTGTCTAAAATTAGAGAAAATGGGAATTAAAAGCGAGGGTCAGTGGAACGCTCATGGCTAGGCCACAAGGCAACACAACAGAGCATTAAGACTGTTCATGGTCCTTAAGGGCCTCCAGAGGCTTCTTAGCCCAGAGCATGTGCTGCTGCTGCAAGGTTCACCTTACAGAGTAGACAGACAGGGTCTCAAGGTGAAGTGAGTGTGGAATACAAGATGAAGCTTTGAAGTGACAGTGACTTCTCAAAACACTGAACAAGGGGTCCCACTTGTCTTGAGTTATCAGAGGCTCTGGTCAACCCATGAACAGGCTTCTATGAAAGGTCTCGGAGCTGTGGTGTCCACAGAACACCGGGCTTTGGGGGAGGTGAGACAGGAAGCTAAGGGGGTCCGGAATTCTGCAGAATTTGGCTCATTTTTCCAGTCTGGTGACTGAGACTGGACCCTCAGTGTCCCACCACCAGCCTGTAGACGGTTCTTCTATACACAAAGAAATACACATGATATTGCTACAAAAGACATTTGTTTTTCAAATGTGTACATTGTATGTGTACATTTTATGTCCTAGTTAAACGTGTACATTTTATGTCCTAGTTAAAAATCAGTGATACAAACTACAAAAAGGCATTCAGTGAGTCAAATGTATACATTTTAACAGGAAGGCTATTTTGAGATTTAGTTAACAGTGTAACAAAAAATTGGGTCCTCTGATAAATCCACGATGGCCACTGATGGATTACAATGGTTAGGGGAAGAAAGCTGCCTGCAAGGACACTGCAGCGCTGAAAAGCGGACCTGGCAGTCTCGGGTGCCTCCAAGAACCTCTTTCCAGGGTCGCAGGTGCGGGCGCAGGCCGGTTCAGCTGCCCAAGTGGGGTCCTCAGCGGCCGCTGCGCCCACAAGCCTCATTTCTGCGGCCTAAGTCTCATGGTCTCCCCCCACTCATGGGAAATCGTAGATTTCCTCCGGGTTCTAGGAAGATCCAAGAGCCTCGAGCTGCGCAGGCGCAATCATAGTCCAGAGCGATCGGGGCGGGGCGTCCCGTTGGTCCCACCCACGTCACGCCGCCCCTCCCGCGCCTGCGCCTCCGGGCGGCCGCGCATCCTCGGCCCTCTCCCGCGCGCTCTGCTATCTCTGCCGCCTTCTGCTCCTCTGCGCTCGGTTCTGCTCCACTCCGCTGAGCTCCGTCGGCTGTGCTCCATCTGCACCGCTCAGTGCTCAGGCGCGGGCCGCCATGAGGCTGCGGGGCCGCGGCCCGCGGGCCGCCCCCTCCTCCAGCTCTGGAGCAGGCGACGCGCGGCGGCTAGCGCCCCCGGGGCGGAACCCCTTCGTGCACGAACTGCGGCTGAGCGCCCTGCAGAAGGCCCAGGTGGGTTCTCCGCAGCGTGGCTGTACTCTGCCCGGGATGCGCCCGGGATGCGGTGGGGAGGGGCTGGGCGCCGCCCGGTCCTTGGAGAGCCGCGCCCCTCCCCTGCTGCACCCTTCCAGCCCCCGCCAGGGTCCCGCTTCCCGCCGCCTGCGCGCATGCTGACTTACGCCCTCTCTTGTTTAGGCACGGGACCCTGTACTCCATCCCTTGAGCCCCACAACCTCATCCCCGGCCTGGCGCGGGTTCCCGCCAGCAGGAGGCCTGGTGGTGGGCGGGGTGGGGGTGTCCCTCGCAGCCCCCTTTGAGCGTCTCCGCTTGGAGGTCGACTGTATTTTGGTGGCCTAGTGCAGGAACCTGGATGGTCATCAGGAGCAGCAGCGGACGTGGGAAACCCCTGGCATAACCCGGCGGGAGAATTTCCACATCCATGTTTGCAGATTGTTTCCTGTGTCGAGTACACTATTTCGGCTGTTAGCGACGCTCCCTGGGGTGGTTGTGCTCTGAATCAACTTTATACAACCTAGTTCCCACGTGAGAGGAAACCGGTGTGCTGCGGTTGATTGGTGGGAACCTGGATCCAGGCACAATTACCATCTGTTCCTGTGGCTCTCACTGTGAGACCTGGCACAGACCTACTCTAGGACCAGGTCTGTGGTCACTGCGGGGGGAGGGGGGAACCTTTCTTTTGGTATTGTGTAGAGTTCATGGTTTCAGACTTCTGTGGCCTGTGGTTTATGGCCAGAGTAGTGTTTCCAGCTATGAGGAACCAACTCTGAGAGGAGGTGGTGGTGTTATATGTGTAATTTATCAGAAATAGTATTAAGTCCATTGAAGTTGTCACTTTCCCAGACACCGGCTTCTCCTCAAAGCCTGTAATGGGTTTGGCTATCACCTGTGGAAACATGATGGTCCACCGTTGAACACGGAGACAGGGAAGGCAAAGTCGTTACATATCGCACCCCAGGTCTTATCCCCTTCCCTGCTTGTCTGTCTGGAGCCAGACAGATAGGAGACAAGGCAGCTGCCTGTGGGACTCTTTCTGAGCCTCTGCTGCTGCCCCTATTGCCTGGGGCTGTGCCCAGCAGAAGGGCTTAGGGTGCAGTCATCTCTGAGCCTAATTATCCCTCTGTTTCATTCTACAACCTCCTGCCCTATAACTCTCTCCAGGCTCTTCCTCCCTTCTTCTGGATCTGCTGCTTGAAAATCTACCTGAGTATTTCTTCAAGGGAGCCCTGTCCCCTTCCTGTGGATTTGGGGGTCTCTTTCCTACCAAGTCATGCTGGTTCACCCCATGCCATTCCAGCCTGGTTCCTCTGCTGCCACCCCACTCTGGCCACCTTAAACAACCCATCCCGGATAATTCTTTCCAACCCTAGCCTTATTATCCTGCCTCTACCCTGTCTTGATAGGTTCCCACCGCCATCCTAATCTGGTCTGCCTCGTTGTGTTGCCTCCACCTCATACTTTATGCTCCTGCCCATCTCTACAGTCTCCATGAAGCATCTCCCTCTCAGAAAAGCTAGCTCCCCACTCCTTATGCATCCATCCTCAACACAGCTTTAATCCACTTAGTCTGATTCTAGGGCCCTGTCTGTGTTGCCCAAAACCATGCACTCATGAGGTCCTGCCCAAAACTTCGGTGTGTGTAACTGCTTGGTTGTCTGTAGCCTGTTGGTAAATGTCCTCAGAATTCTCTGGTGTGCATCCCCCAAGCCGTGCTTTGCAGAGCCTTTGCCTTTATGGAAGACTTTATTGAAAAGTTTTCTGTCAAGCAAAAGAATCCTACTTCCCCTTGAGGAGGAGGTCCCTTTAAGTCTGAAGCCCAGAAACTTACCATTCCCAAGTGGCTCTAAACTGCCCTTCAAGGGGTTACAGTGTAGCTTTGGATTAAGGACACACAGGCCACCTCAGCCCATAGCAGCCCATCTGTCACTTAACTACAGATTTAGCAAGCAGCTTAAGCATTTAGTGGACAGAAAATAACAGGCTAAGATCTGTACACTGGGGTCTGAAGTACTTGCTGCTTTCTGTCACAGCAAGGATGCAGATGAAGGGCAGGCCCTAGAAGGTCTTTTGCTGTCAGCTAAAGTTCTTCACTGTTCGTTGTTTTTGAAGCCATAAAGTGGTTTTTCTGTCACAGGGTTTTTGGGGTAACTCCACATGGACTCTGTGGTACAACCATTTCCGGTCCCATCTCTGATGGGTTTTCCTGATTTTGAAATGTAACTAGATCTGAGTTTACTTCCTGGACAGCAGAGCTACCTTCTATTGGAGCCAGCCCTATTTGAGTGCAGGTTCAGAGGCAGCTGCAGCCCCTGCCCCTCCCCAAGTCCAACCCAGAGAAGGTGATGGTGAGGTCAGGTAGCTAACAAGTTCTACCCTAACTTTGGAGTCCTGAGTAGAATATGCCTAAATAGTGGAAGTCTCTTCTGGCAGGCTTTTCTTCTGGTGTCTTAAGTTAAGGCAAAGCACAGCTGGGCTGTCACTGTGGCCTGGCTCCAATAGCAATGGTGATGCTGGAGCAAAGTCCTGACAGCACACATCCGGCCACTCCTACAGATGGCTGGCGTTTTGTCTTTAGTGTCCAGGCCCCAGGCACATGGGCACAGAGAGGTGCCACCCACTGGACACCTAGACACTTCAGGAAACTTAAGGAGGGGCACTCCTATTTAAAAGATCCTGTTGCACCCCATCCTTGCTGTGTGGAGATGCAGGTGTTCTACAGACTTACAAACAACAAACACTGGGAGAGCACTGGATGGGGAAGATTTATAGGAAGGGAGAAGAGAGACTAGAGTAGCTGGCTTGGCTGCACAGTGCTTAGCCCTCCCAAGAATGCCTGGAGTTGATGTTAGGATTGGGACACATACTATCTGCAACATTGCATCTGATGGCTCACATCTGTTGGTGTCTGTGTCTCTGGAAGACCCAAGGTTGTTTCCCTGTATCTGGCTTTTGGTCACTGTTCGCTATAGCCCCTAGAGGCCTAGAGGCAGGTGGAAGGCCAGCCTGAGTTTCTGTGTCATAGATGAAGATTGAAGTGTCCCTGTCTCACAACAGTGTGGTACCTTAGTGTAGACCTCTGCTTGCCCTTATAGGGAGCCTTCCTCTGTAGTCTTTCTAATGTTGTCGAAGGTGGTAACTGAACAGTGGGATGGTAGAGTCTGGGGAAAGATCTAACTTTTGCTTTTATTGCCTTTGAGAATTTGGACTTTTAGCAGCATGGGTGTTTTATTTGTATGCACACATTTTACATATAAATGTACACTTTTGTATCTTAGCCCATGGGAAAGCACGCATCTGTGCAGTAGTTAAGGCACAAAGCCTGTTTTAACTCAGTGCCATTAGACAAACTCATTTAAATGTCCTTGTGCTAATGCCATATTATAAGGAACAACAGATAACTGCTTTGCTGTTGTCCTCTCTGTGTGTGTGTGTGTGTGTGTGTGTGTGTGTGTGTGTGTGTAGTGTGTACACATACACGAGGCCAGAGGCTGACATTTGAGTGTTCTCATCAGCCCTCATACATTTTGAGATAGTCTCTTACTGGAGTTGGTACTCGACAGTTCACTGCACTGATTGGCTAGAGAACCCCAGGGATTTTCCTTTCAGTCTCCCCAGCACTGGGGTTAGAGGCACTCACTGCCTCTGCTGGCTTTTATGTGGGTGCTGGGATTGAATGTTTGTCTTCATGTTTGTGCAGCAAGCACATTACTAGTTGGGCTATCTGCCCAAGCCCAGTCCTGTTTTTGTTTTACTTTTGAACTCTGCGCTTCACTTTCTGCAGCCCTCAGTGTTAGCAGTGAGTGGCAGCTGGCTTTTGTCCTGCTCTTGATTGTGCTCTGCACTTTTTTGTGTGCGTGTGCGTGCGCACACACACACACACACACACACACACACACACACACACAGAGCCTGGTTCCCAATTAAGACCTAGGTAGAGTGTCACTTTCCACAACCCATGTGTTTCTGGGCTTTTTCCAAGTGGTAGCCCTTTAGTGTGCTGCATGGACCATGGGTGGAGGTACTAGCCATGGCTTAACCTGAGACATGCCACTGGGGTAGGCCGTTCCTTCCCTGAATCAACACATTAGTGTTCAGTGGTATGTGCTGTACAGTCAGAAGAATGACATATTTTCCTTACAAACTTATTTGTCGCCTACAGGCTTTTTTTTTCTTTTTTCTTTTTTTTTCCTTTTCTTTTTCCCCCCAATCTACTGGCTTTTTAAGAACACAGTTTCACTACCCAAGCAGACATAGAGCTGGACTGACCTAAAGTCTGGGAGGGCAAGGACTGGCTTTTGGCTATGTGATGGAGAGGAGAGCTCATGCTGGCCTGTGCTTTTCGATAGATGCCTGGGGCCTTGTGTCAGGGGGAGAGTGCAGGACTTCCCACTGTGGAGGTGGGCTTTGAGGTCTTAGATGCTCAAGCTATGTCCAGTGTGAACACAGTTCCCTCTGCTGCCTGTGGACCAGAATGTAGAGCTCTCAGCTCCTTCTCCAGCACCATGTCTGGCTGCAATGCTGCCATGCTTCTTGCCATGACAATAATGGACTACACCAACCTCTGAAACTGTAAGCCAGCCCCAGTTAAATGTTTTCCTTTACAAGAGTTTCCATGGTCATGGTGTCTCTTCACAGCAATAGAAGCCCAAAGACAGTCCCAATATACCTTGTTCCCCCACCAGCTAAAACAAATAAGATGTCCATGTGGTATTTGTGGTGCTCTCCATCAGGGAGTTCAGGGTGTGCTGGGGACAGGGGCTCACATCCACAGAGGTTGTATAAGCTGAAGAGCATGTGAGCTGCCTCCTTTCCAAGTAACCTTCCTGCTGAACAGTGGAAGCAGCTGGAAAGCTCTAAGGCTTGATTCTCGTGATTCCATTGCTCAGCCTTAACAGTGGGTCTTGGAGACAGCTGTAGATTGGGGTGGGTCTTACTTCTGGCCTCAGCTGAGTCCTGGTTCCTCAAGGAAGATGGGACCAGAGTGAGTCCCTAAA